TGACCTATGATCACATAGCAAGTGAATGGTACAGCTGGAATTAGAATATAGACCTAAATTTAGTTTTGCCTTACCCTTCTTAGATGTAACACCTGACTTTCATTTCCTTGAGGATCCAAATTTACTTTTCAGATACACATTCTCTTTGTCTCTCATAGTAGAAGAGGTTTGTGAATAATAGAGCTAAGGAGAGGCAGTATGTCCTCAAATGTTAGCATGCCTCAGAATCACCTATAGGGCTTGTTAAAACAGATTTTGCCCCCCCCCCCTTCTCTTCCTCACCCTCCTCAAAGATTCTTTGATTTAGAAGATCTGGAGTAAGCCCTGATAATTTGCATTTCTAACAAATTCCCAGGTGGTGCAGATGCTGCTCGTTCAGGGACCACACTTTGAGAACCAGTGCTTAAAAGCAGACATACTCTTTGAAGTCAGTCACTCTCAGGTCCAAACTCTGGATCTACGATATACTGCTGTGTGACCCAGATCAAGTTTTTTAACTGATATGTTTCAGATTCCTGTACTATAAAATGGGAATAATAATATTTATTTCACAGGACCATTATAAGAAATAGATTAGTTAATATAATAAAAAAGTTTGGCATACTGCTTGCTACATAGTAGACACTCAATAGATGGTTTCTATTGTTATTTATAATAAGCCTGGGACCCAGTGAAATGTTTATGAACCATAAATTCAGTCAGTGTTTTAGAGTAGATGCCCAGAGACTTTCTGTCACTTTGAGATGCTGTCAGGACACAGACACATAGACACATTCATATATACAAACACATTCTTGCTTGACTCTCTTCGTATTTATGGTAGACTTGAAAGAAGAGTGAGAGAGCAGAAGTGACAAATTGGTAAAGAGATTCCACTTCCAAGATGGATTTATCTATAGCTTATTTTTATTACTCTCAGCTTCTATTGTGTATTGAAGTAAAGGTGGACACTATAAAAAAAAGAGCATATTTCAAGGTATGTGACATAGCTGCCAATTGCTAAGACAGAACTGCTTATTAATGTGTACGTGTGTTGTATGGTGGGAAAAGGAGAGCCTAAGGGACATCGGAGATGACACAGGTGGAGGGGAGAAGTCTGTATGAAAGATTCTTTTAATGTATTTTTTTTAATTTTATTTTTTTTTGGCTGTGTTGTGTCTTCATTGCTGCACAAGGGCTTTCTCTAGTGGCAGCGAGCAGGGGCTACTCTTCGTAGTGGTGCGCAGCCTTCTCATTGTGGTGGCTTCTCTTGTTGCTCTAGGCATGCTGGCTTCAGTAGTTGTGGCACACAGGCTCAGTAGTTGTGTCCCGCGGGCTCTAGAGCACAGGCTCAGTAGTTGTGGTGCACAGGCTCAGCTGCTTCGCGGCATGTGGGATCTTCCCAGATCAGGGATTGAACCTGTGTCCCCTGCATTGGCAGGCAGATTCTTAACCACTGCACCACCAGGGAAGTCCTGAAAGATTCTTTTGAACTCTGGATTGACCACATCAAGGGATAATCACAGTTCCTGATGGGGTCTGCAAAATGAAGTTATGGAGGTATATCCCTGAGCTGACTTTCTCTGTGTACATTATTATAGAGAGACTATTCAAACCATTTTAGCAATTATTCATTTTCTAACTGTACAGGTACCACGTTAGGGGCTGCAGAGACTTAATTAAGCTCCAGAAGTGTGTGTAGAAGACATCAAAATTGACTTGAGCAGTTAAGTCATAACTTGGGCCTTTCAACCATGATTACACTTAAAACTTTTACGTTGTTTAATGGTCATTTGGTCAGCCTGTTTACAGTGGCATATGGGACTTGCAAAGGTAAACAAAACTTTCAATTCAGAGTTTTTAAAAAAACAACTAACTTAATATTTTTAAATTAATTTTTTTAAAGGTAAAGGGTATAGCTAATAAATACTTGAAAAGATGCTCAACATCATTAGCCAGTGAAATGCAAATCAAAATCACAGTGAGATACCGCTTCACACCCAGTAGGGTGGCTATAATAAAAAAGATAGACAAGAGCACGTGTTGGTTAGTATGTGGAAAAATTAAAATCCTCATATATTGCTGGTGGTAGTGGAAAAAGGTGCAGCTGCTATGGAAAACAGTTTGGCAGTTCCTCAAAAAATTAAACATGGAGTTATGGAATTGACCTAGCAATTCTTCTCCTAGGTATACAACCTAAAAAATTCAAAATATGCTAACACAATAACCTGAACACAAATGTTCATAGTAGCATTATTCATACGAGCCAAAAAAGTAGAAATAACCCAAATGTCCATCAACTGATGAATTGATAAACAAAATGTGGAATATCCATACAATGGCAAATCTATTCAGCTGTAAAAAAGAATGAAGTGCTGGGACTTCCCTGGTGGCACAGCGATTAAGAATCCGCCTGCCAATGCAGGGACACGGGTTCGATCCCTGGTCCAGGAAGGTCCCACATGCCTCAAAGCAACTAAGCCCGTGTGCCACAACTACTGAGCCCGCGCTCTAGAGCCTGCGAGCCACAACTACTGAGCTCATGCGCCACAAATACTGAAGCCTGCACACCCTAGGGCCTGCATGCCGCAACTACTGAGCCTGCATGCTGCAATTACTGAAGCCCGCGCGCCTAGAGCCTGTGCTCTGCAACAAGAGAAGCCACTGCAATGAGAAGCCTGCACACCCCAATGAAGAGTAGCCCTCGCTCCCCGCAACTAGAGAAAGCCTGCGCGCAGCAACGAGACCCAATGCAGCCAAAAAAAAAGAATGCGGTGCTGATTCGTGTTACAACATGGTTATACCTTGAAAACAATGCTAAATGAAAAAAGCCGGATACAAAAGGCCACATGTTTTATATGAAATGTCCAGAATAGGCAAATCTGTATAGACTGAAAGTAGATTAATGGTTGCCAGAGACTGAGAGAATAGGGGGAGTGGAGAGTGACTACTAATGGGTATGGGGTTTCTTTTTAGAGTGATGAAAATGTTCTAAAATTGGATAATGGTGATAATTGCACAGCCTTGTGAATATACTAAAAACCACTGAATTGTACAATTGAAAAGGGTAAGTTTTATAGCATGTAAATTGTATCTCAAAAGAGCAAAAATAAAACATGTACCTACAGTGGGCATGAAGCATGAATGAGAAGTAAACTTTGTTGTCATAAAAAATAATTGTGGGAAGAGGAGGTAATTCATGGTTAGGAAAAGATTCTGTGGAGAAACAAACCATCCTTCTATTAGAGATTCATAATGCAGAGTAGCCAATCTGAAGTTCTGAAAGTCTTATGAAGGTGGAAACTTATTTAGCTTCATTGAGCCAGTATCTCCCAAACATTTCATTATAAAAACCATTTATTCACGGCAATCATGTTGAACTAGTGTCCTAGAGAAGAGTGAATCTTGGCCTTGAGCATACGTATATAGGTGGATCACCTGGATTGTTTGTTAAAACATTCTGGGTCCCCACCCCAGAGATTCTGATTTCAGAGGTCTTGGCTGCAGGCTGAGAATTTGCATTTCTGACAAGCTCCCAGATGATTTTATCCTTCAGGTTTGAGAACTAAACTTTGAGTAGCATCTTTATAGAATAGTCAAATCCTGTACCTTAAATGGGTGAATTTTATGGCATGTGAATTATATCTCAATAAAGATGCTAAAAAATTTGATATACTAGAAATAGCACTAAAATGTGGATTCTAGTGATTTTGTTAATGCAAGACAATGCTCTATGAGTGATTTGTTTCCATTAAAAATTTCTTCATCCATAAAATGAGTCACTGTTCTATGTATTACGTAGGGTTGTGATGAAAATGAGGCAATGTACTCTTCCAAATTGTGTTCTGTAGATAAAAACATGTTACTTAAAAAAAAAAGTCCATGGCCAGCTAAGTTTGGGAGTCTCTAAATTAATAATGCATATTCCAGATTGATGGTCAGACCATTATTTTTGACTTGGATCCTAATATCACTCTCTCTATATAAAATCAATTAAGTATGAGCTTTTTATTCATTCTAATTCTTGTAGTAGATCCTCTGGAGCTACAAAAATCCTTATGAAGTAGAAGCTGAATGAGCAAGGTTTGAATAATATTGCGGGACCAGCAGTATTTGTTCCTCTTTTGCTTCAATGCTGTTACATCCTGCTTGATATTTTATTGACCTATTTATCTGAAAAATTATTGGCCAAACAGAATTTTAACATAAGACTATTGGCTATGGTAAAATAATGTCTAGGAAAGTTAAGAGAATACTTGTAGCCAGTTATTTGTCTCTTTTAATCAATTTATGTTCATAGAGCAACTTATTTTCAAAATTCGATTGAAGCTAATTTAAATATTATATCCAGAAATAATTTTGGCTCTTTAGTATTTTAATAGAGAAAAAAATGAATAGTTTTCCCTTCTCCCTTTTTTTTAAAAAAATATTTATTTATTTATTTGGTTGTGCCAGGTCTTAGTTGTGGCTGGCGGGCTCCTAGTTGCAGCTCGCCAGCTCCTTAGTTGCGGCATGTGGACTCCTTAGTTGCAGCATATGAACTTCTGGTTGCGGCATGCATGTGGGATCTAGTTCCTTGACCAGGGATCAAACCCGGGCCCCCTGCATTGGGAGCGTGTAGTCTTAACCACTGTGCCACCAGGGAAGTCCCCCTTCTCCCTTTCTTAAACTTGGATTATTTATTTAAAAAAAAATTGAGTCCCTCATTACTGTCTTTATCTGAAGCTTTTATAATTAACCAAATGTTTTCTTATATTATATAGCAGTTTAAACTTTAAAATTTTGTTTACTTGTCATTTCAATTTTAGCTGAAAAGCATTTCTTTCCTGATTTTCCTTAGTGATCTATTTTAAGCATTATTTTTGATGTTATAATCTATTTTTAACCCCTTTCCTAGAATTCTTTTGTTGAATTAAACTTCCTGAAATTAAATATATTATTAATGTGGCATTGGGAATCCATGTATATATAGTTTGAAAACGTCTTTTCAGAACCTTAATATAATTGTACCTTTATTTCAGATGATGTGGAGGACCATCCTACTACAATACTGTTTTCTCTTGGTTACATGTATACTTACTGCTCTTGAAGCTGTGCCTATAGACATAGACAAGACAAAAGTAGAAAATGCTCAACCTGTGGACAGTGCAAAGATAGAACCACCAGTAAGTGAATGCTAAAGATAACCTTGTGGGAAGAATTTTAACTAAAATATTGCTAAGAATTTATTACTTATAAAATTGGACATTTAGGAACTATTTCTGAAATAGCAGTAAAAAGAGTATTGGATAAGCATATGTTCTTTAATATCAGACAAAGTTTTTTTAATGTAGTTATATTAGATATATATATCTAATTAGTATATTAGTATATAGAAGAATTAATCATAATATATTTCCAATGTAGAGATAACCAACCAAGAAAACGTACTATATTCAGAGAAGAGACAGATAACAATGAGGAGAGACAGGTGACAAGGGGGTAAAACCAATTAGTATATTGGTTAAGTATTCATTGTCTAAGCCATATAGAAAATCTACCTTTATGTAAGAGTAAAACATGACATTGGTTCTGATACAACTCTCTTCATTTGAGAAATACAGCTTTTAACTTTGGCTGCCCAAACTATCAAAGTAGGTATGTCTCAATGCCATTTTGCTAGACGTTTTTTATTTTGTTTGTTTGTTTTTTTAGGATTGAAATCTTTAGATACAGGAAAGGAAAAACTTTCAGAAGAGTTACTGTTTGTTTCTTAATTTGAAGGATACTGGACTTTATTATGATGAATACCTCAAGCAAGTGATTGATGTGCTGGAAACAGATAATCATTTCAGAGAAAAGCTCCAGAAAGCAGACATAGAGGAAATAAAGGTAAATGTAATTAAATAATTATTTAACAAACACTTGAGCATGCCAGACACTGAGCTAAGTATTGGGATTACAAAGATAAGACTCGGGACTTCCCTGGTGGCACAGTGGTTAAGAATCCACCTGCCAGTGCAGGGGACACAGGTTCGAGGCCCTGGTCTGGGAAGATCCCACATGCCATGGAGCAACTAAGCCCATTTGCCACAACTACTGAGCCTGTGCTCTAGAGCCCATGAGCCACAACTAATGAGCCCGCATGCCACAACTACTGAAGCCCACGCACCTAGAGCCCGTCCTCCGCAGCAAGAGAAGTCACTGCAATGAGAAACTTGCGCACTGCAAGGAAGAGTAGCCCCCGCTTGCTGCACCTAGAGAAAGCCCGCACATAGCAATGAAGAGCCAACGCAACCAAAAATAAAAAAATAAATAATTAAAACAAACAAACAAAAAACAAAGACTCATTCTTAGCCCTTAAAGAACCCTCAAGGGAGACTAATATCCAGAGAAAGATTACTAAGATAAATATACGCTGAGTGTATAATACATTTTGGAGATACAGAGGATGGACACCTAATTCAGTAGGAAGCAGTGGGGGAAGGTGGGAAGTCTTTCTTCCTGGTAGAGATTATGCCTGTGCTTAAATATGCGGCTGAGAAAAGGAGAAAGACTGGGAGACATGCTAGGCCAAGGTACAAGGGAACAGAGACAGGAATATATAGGAACCTGGAAGGAGTAACTGCTGCTGGAACCTGGCCTGGGAAGTGGAGGCCATGACTGGCCAAAAGATGAGGTTGGAAAGAGTCATGGGCTAGATAACAGAGGGCCTTGTACATCATGGTAAGGGGCTTGAATCATGATGTGAGGACAGCAGGAAGCTATTCAAAGGTTTAGCACAGGTTTAGTTCTGGTGTTTTAATCAGGTCCAGATTAATAGAAGACGTAACGGGCCATATCTTATCTCAATAGGGGAGGTTTAATTATTTGTCTCTGTCCTAAGAACCCTATTTATTTGACATTATCCTAGCCCTAGACATCTCCTTAGTATTCACAATAAAGAAAGAAGGTTGTAAAAACCAAGATCTGACATGAGATTCTTTTAAAGGCCACCCTTGAAGGGTAATGAATCCACTTAGTTGGGTTTATCTTAGAGTCAGCAGTAAAAAAAAAATTCCAATGATTTAATTTTAAACTTTCAGTTATAACTCTCAAGATAGTTTTATTGGTTTGCTCATGTTATTTTTGTTTATCTGTTTTTAACTTTCGTAAAAAGTTATCTTACCTGGAACTTTGTTTGAAGGAAAATTTCTGAATCAAACATCCTTATTTTAGTCTCTGTCCCTGGTCTGGGCCCCTGTGAAAGTCTGACCCACATTAGGTTGTGGCCACTATCAGAACCTGTGTGTGGCTTTTATTTATTTTATTTTATTATTATTTTTTAAAATAAATTTATTTATTTATTATTTATTTTTGGCTGTGTTGGGTCTTCGTTGCTGCACATGGGCTTTCCCTAGTTGCCGTGAGTGGGGGCTGCTCTTCGTTGAGATGTGTGGGCTTTACATTGTGGTGGCTTCTCTTGCTGCAGAGCATGGGCTCTAGGCGCTCGGGCTTCAGTAGTTGTGGCACTCAAGCTCAATAGTTATGGCTCATGGACTCTAGAGCGCAGGCTCAGTAGCTGTGGCACACGGCCTTAGTTGCTCTGTGGCATGTGGGATCTTCCCAGACCAGGGCTCAAACCCATGTCCCCTGCATTGGCAGGTGGATTCTTAACCACTGCACCACCAGGGAAATCCCTGTGTGTGGCTTTTAGTTCACAGCTGTCCTCTTGGAGGCTGTGAATTTTTCTGGGAGAATGCTAACAGCCTTATGCCAATAATTCCCTTGAATTATCTATTTTATTTTATTTTATTTTTTTGAATTATCTTTTTTTTTTGGTGGTACGCGGGCCTCTCACAGCTGTGGCCTCTCCCGTTGCGGAGCACAGGCTCCGGACGTGCAGCCTCAGCGGCCATGGCTCACGGGCCTAGCCACTCCGCGGCATGTGGGATCTTCCTGGACCAGGGCACGAACCCGTGTCCCCTGCATCGGCAGGCGGACTCTCAACCACTGCGCCACCAGGGAAGCCCTGAATTATCTTTTTTTAATTGAACTATATTTGACATACAGTATTATATTAGTTTCATATGTACAACATCGTGATTTGACTTTTGTATACATTGTGAAATGATCACCACAATAAGTCTAGTAACCATCTGTCACCATACAAAGTTAATACAGTATTATTGACCTCATGCTGTACATTACATCCCCATGACTTATTTATTTTATACCTGGAAGTTTGTACCTCTTGATCCCCTTCACCCATTTCACTTCTCCCCCAACCTCCCTCCACTCTGGCAACCACCAATTTGTTCTCTGTATCTATGAACCTGTTTTTTGTTTGGTTTAGTTGGTTTGTTTGTTCTGTTTTTTTAGATTCCACATATGTCATGTGGTATTTGTCTTTCTCTGACTTATTTCACTTAGCATGATATCTACAGTCCCCTGAATTGTTTTGAGAATAATCTCGTGTTTCCTTGAAAAATTCATTTGAGCTGTGGAACTAATTTCCTGGGATGAATGATATTTAATGTAGAACTTTCAAAGTCTCTTATTTACTTCAGTTAGGACTAAGAGCGTTATTTGGGGGCTAACAGACAGTGTGGGTAATGGGAGTTACTATATAGAGATAATCAGGGAAAAGAAAACAACAAGCTTGCCTTCTTCGGTATAGGAGAATACTTTTATAACTGTCTTCCTTTCACAGTCAATTCCTATTCCCTGTAGGGTTGCGTGGAGGGAGACAAAATGAAGTAAGTTAAACAGTTGTTTAATGAAAAAGAAATTGAGTAAAAATAGACAATAAAAATCAAGCCGACAGAATCATTACAAACAGCTGAGCAAAGCCTCCTGTCTCAGGAAAAACTGGAAAAAAAAAGTTAGAAGAAGTTGTCCTTTGTTGTCAGCTAAGCATTTTGAAAGGAGAATCAGACTATGTTTCTTCACTTACCAAACATTGCTAACTGGGAAGATTATGGCTTCACCCACACCACTTCCCTGAATGTACTTTTGTGAAGGATATCAGTTGACTTCCTTATTTTTTTTTTTTAATTAAAAAAAATATATATTTATTTATTTATTTGACTGCACCGGGTCTTATTTGCGACATGCGGGATCTTTAGTTGCAGCATGCGGGACCTAGTTCCCTGACCAGGGATCAAACCCAGGTCCCACGCACTGGGAGCATGGAGTCTTAACCACTGGACCACTAGGGAAGTACCTGTCAGTGATTTCTTAATTGCCAGATCTAGTGAGCACCTTTTATTCCTCTTCTTACTGGACTCCTTTATTTTATCTCAGTGGTTCTCAGATTTTAAATTGTTAAAACAGATTTCTGGGCCCCACCTCCTGACTTTCTGATTCAGTAAGTCTAGGGCCTCCATATCTAAAGTTCCCAGGTGATGCTGATGCTTCCACTTTGGGACCACACTTGAGAACTATTGTTTTATCTAATAATAATGACCATTCTCTCCTTGAAATGTACTACTCTTTTTGCTTCTGTAACAGCATATTCTCTTAGCTCTCCTCCCTCTCTGAACATTCTTTCTTGGTCTTGCTTGAGGGTTTCTTTTCCTTCCCGTCCTCCCCCTTGACTCAGTCCTGAAGGGTCTGTGTGCCTGATTGCTAGTTAGACTTGCAGTTTCTGATTGAAAATGCATTTTTAAACAAGAGAAGGTAAACCACTAGCTATTTTGTCTCTTAAATTTTGGAACATTTATAGAATTACTCATCTATGAAAAAATGTAATCAAAGGAGACAACCTAAAAAAGATGAATTTTGAAAAGTTGTTTATATATGGAATGACTAAAGCTTAAGGAGGCCACGTTACTTAAAAAAAAACTATTGAAATATAATTCACATACCATAAAACTTGCCCCTTTAATGTATACAATTCAGTGGTTTTATTATATGTACAGAGTCATGTAACCATCACCACTATCTAATTTTAGAACAATTTTATTTCCCCCCAGAAGGAACCCTGTACCCATTAAGCAATCACTCCCCCTTTCCTTTCTCTCCTCAGCCCCTGGCAACCATTAATCTACTTTCATTATCTGTGCATTTGCCTATTCTAGACATTTCATATAAATGGAATCATACAAAATTTGGCCTTTTGTGCCTGGCTTCTTTGACTTAGCATAATGTTTTCAATGTTCATCATGTTGTAGCATGTATTGGTGTATTCATTCCTTTTAATGGCTGAATAATATTCCACTGTATGGATATTCCATATTTTATCAATTCATCAGTTGATGGACATTTGGGTTATGTCTACTTTTTTGGCTCGTATGAATAATGCTGCTATGAACATTCATATTTAAGACTTTATGTGAGAACTTCCCTGGTGGCGCAGTTGTTAAGAATTCTCCTGCTAATGCAGGGGACATGGGTTCGAGCCCTGGTCCGGGAAGATCCCACATGCTGCAGAGCACCTAAGCCTGTGTGCCACAACTACTGAGTCTGTGCTCTGGAGCCAGTGAGCCACAACTACTGAGCCTGGGTGCCACAACTACTGAAGCCCACGCACCTAGAGCCCGTGCTCCACAACAAGAAAAGCCACCGCAATGAGAAGCTTGCACACTGCAACAAAGAGTAACCCCCGCTGACTGCAACTAGCGAAAGCCCGAGTGCAGCAACGAAGACCCAATGCAGCCAAAAATAAAATATAAATAAATAAATAAATATTTAAAAAGAGACTTTATGTGAATATATGTTTCAACTCTTTAGGTATATACCTAGGAATGGAGTTGCAGGGTGATATGGTAACTGTGGGTTTAACTTTTTGAGGAACTGCCAAAATTGTTTTCCAAAGTGGCTGCACCATTTTGCAATTTAAGTTACTTTTTGAGTTTCTTCTTTGTGCTTTAATTATGCTTTTCTAAATTATATGGTTTTTAGACATCTTGATTTTAGAGTTACAAACTGAATATCTTCTGAAAGAAATGCTGTTTGTAATGTCAGATTTATCTAAAATAGTCAAAAGTATCACTACTTTATTATAACCCTATTTTTAATATATTGTGTCTTATCTAAAAATGCAATGGAATAGGTAAAATTAATTTATTATTTTTGTTAACAGAGTGGGAGGCTAAGCAAAGAACTGGATTTAGTAAGTCACCATGTGAGGACAAAACTTGATGAACTGAAAAGGCAAGAAGTGGCAAGGTTAAGAATGCTGATTAAAGCTAAATTGGATTCCCTTCAAGGTAAGTGCTAAAGAAAAGGCAGGAAAATTCCAATATTTGGTTGTTAAGGTCAGTTTACACACCATGTTCCTATAGTCAACATTTAATGTTAGTATTGATTTGGCTTCTCTTATTTTTTTTAAAATTTATTTATTTATTATTTATTTATGTATTTAGGCTGCACCAGGTCTTAGTTGCGGCACTCGGGATCTTCATTGCGACATGCGGACTTCTTAGTTGCGGCATGTATGTGGGATCTAGTTCCCTGACCAGGGATCAAACCCAGGCCCCCTGCATTGGGAGCATGGAGTCTTACCCATTGGACCACCAGGGAAGTCCCACCTTCTCTTAATTTTTAAAATTTAATTTTTTGAATAGGTTATATATTCATGTCATTCAAAAATCAAAATGATTAGCCTTAAATAATTATATCAGTGAAAAGGAAGAATGAAAAATAATGAATTAAGCCACTGATTTAAAAGAGGAAAAATAACGTCAAAGCAAACCAAAAGAAAGTAGAGAGAGAAAATCTAATTAGAACAATTTCCATAGATGAAATAGAACAATCGTCAGAGCTAGCTCCACAGAAACACCAGGTTCAGATAGTGCCAAAGGGAATTCCACCAAACCATTAAAGATCAGATTGTCAGTGCTATTTAAAGTATTCCAGAGCATAGATTAAGAAGGAAACTTCCACACTTTTATTATGTGTTGATGCCAAAACCAAAATTATTGGACCTTAAAAGAATATTCTATCATAGCAAGTGGATTTATTTCAGGAATGCGAGATTAACTTAATTTTAGGAAATCTAATGCTGTAAATTATCATATGAATAGATGTAAGAAGAAAGAAATTTTTGGTGTGACAAGAGAAATTGTAAAGTCAAAGGACAAATAATGAATCAGAATAAATCTTTGAAATTTGTATTTTTTTAAAATTAAGATAATTTTTTTAGTGCAATATAAGGTTCACAGCAAGATTGAGGGTAAACGCAAAAAAAAAAAAAAGACATGTGTTTAGGGCTTCCCTGGTGGCACAGTGGTTGAGAGTCCGCCTGCCAATGCAGGGGACATGGGTTCGTGCCCCGGTTTGGGAAGATCCCACATGCCGCGGAGCGGCTGGGCCCGTGAGCCATGGCTGCTGAGCCTGCGCGTCCGGAGTCTGTGCTCCTCAATGGGAGAGGCCACAACAGTGAGAGGGCCGTGTACCGCAAAAAAAAAAAAAAAAAAAAAAAGATTGAGGGTAAGGTACAGAGATTTCCCATACACCCCTGTCCCCAAACGTTCATAGCCTCCCCCAATACCAACATCTCCCAACAGTGTGGTACATTTGTTACAATTGATGAACCTACACTGACACATCATAATTACCCCAAATCCATAGTTTATATTAGAGTTCACTCTTGGTGTTGTACATTCTATGGGTTTAGGCAAATTTATAATGACATGTATCAACTGTTATAGTATCATACAGAGTAGTTTCACTGCCTTAAAAATCCTCTGTGCTCTGCCTATTCATCTTTCTATATTCTTTTAATTTTAGACTATGAGAAGATTAAATAGCTATGAAGCAGAGTTTTTGAAATGTGAAGATATCTTAAAGAAAGTAATCTCATTGTTCATATGATCATCTCCATATATTCAGAGAAGGCATTTGACAAAAATTAACACCCCTTCGTAATTTTAAAAAAGTAATAAAATAGTAATCAATAGATACTTCTGTAACATGATCAGATATGTCCAACTCAGCTACACATTGGGGAAACACAAATATATTTTCTCACTAAAATCAGAAACAAAACAATGATGCTCACTGTCACCACTACTAATTAATATTGTTTTGGAGGTACTAGCCAAAGCAATTATACAAATGAAAAAATTGGAGGTAAAATAGTCGGAAAGTAGGGGATAAAACCATCTCTATTTGCAGGTAATATAATTATTCACTTGGAAAACCTAAAGAACTTGTCTGAAAAACTTAGTATATACAAAAGTAAAATTCAGCAAGGTAAACAATATACAGAAATCAGTGTTTTTCATATGTACAAACAACAGCCAGTTAGGAGATATAATGGAAGAAAAGACTCCATTTATGATACCAACAAAGATAAAACGCCCAGAATAAACCTATTAAGACATGTGCAAAACTTTCAGATAAAAACTTTAAAGTGCTCCTGAAGAACACGAAAGTAGATTTGAAAAAAGGGGAAGACATAACATCTTTTTGATACAAAGACTCAACATTATGAACATGTCAGTTCTTCTTAGGTTAATTTACAAATTTAACATGATCCAAATAAAAATGTACTTTTTTCCCCTGGCACTAGCCAAGTTAATTTTAAAGTTCATATGAGAAGGGAAATGAGCAAGAAAAGCGATGTGCCTCTGAAGAAGAACAAAGAAGAAGGACTAGATATATTAGGTATTAAAATATATCACTAAGCCTCAGACATTAGAACTCTATGGTTTTGTCATGTAAGTAGAAAGACCAGTGGAACAAAATAGAAATTCCAGAAATAAAATTAAATACATATGGAATTTAGTTTGAATTAAAGGTGGTATCTCATTATTAGTGAGATAAAGGTTTAGAAAAAAAATAAGTAGTCTTAATAGAGTTGGATAGCCATTTGGAAAAAGGTAGTTAGATTTATATCTCATATACATCAGAATAAGTGCTTATATAAATCAAAGATTTAAGTGTAGAAAATAAAACCATAAAAGCAACAGTTGACAGCATAAGTGAATTCTTTTATTGTCTTGGAATGGCCTTTCTAATTATGAATCAAAATCCAAGGGCCAGCTTTGGCAAGTGGGAGACCCTTCAGGCTGGCTCCTGTGTCCTTGTAACGTGCCCCCATAGGTTGGTTATCTGGGTGGTTCATTGTCATCAATAAATATCTGAATACTTACTAAGGGTGGAATAGCAGTTCTTAAACTTCAGATTGCATAAAAATCACCTTAGGGAGCTAGTTAAAAATGCAGATTACTGGATCTCACCTCCAGATACTCTGATTCTAGGGATGAGTAATCTGCATTTTATCTTTTTAAAATAGTTATTTATTATTTATTTATTTTTATTTTGGCTGTGCCGAGTCTTAGTTGTGGCATGCGGGCTTCTTAGTTGCTGCATGCAAACTCTTAGTTGTAGCATACATGCAGGATCTAGTTCCCCGACCGGGAATCAAACCTGGGCCCCTGCATTGGGAGCACGGAGTCTTACCCAGTGGACCACCAGGGAAGTTCCTGCATTTTAAACATGTACCTCTGGTCAATGGATCATATTGGAGAAATTGTGTAGAGCAGTAAACTCTCTGCTGGTGAATAGACTTAGAAAACAAGTACTTAGAAAACAAATACTCTTTATCCTGAAACTAAGGATATCAATGAGAGGTAAATTAACTCATACCATCCTACTTCAGCTGGTCAGACACACAAGGTAATTCCATCCTTGAAGCCAGGCCTAAGGTGGTTTGAGATTTCTTTGCCCTTAGACAACTTCCATCCCCTTAATCTTGGCAACATTTTCTTTATTCCAAGACAGCAGCTGAATTTCATTATCTAAAGTAAACTGTTTTATATGCTTAGAAAAGTTATGAGTATTTTCTCATTGATTCAAAATTTATGAATTAAAATTTCTGATAATTTGAAGGAGGGCTTAAAGCGTCTTAATTTTGCGGGGTGTGTGTGTAATTTTTAAAGTAGGCAATACATTCACATGGTTTAAAAAAACAAAGTGTAAGGGGTTTCCCTGGTGGCACAGTGGTTGAGAGTCCACCTGCCGATGCAGGGGACACTGGTTTGTGCCCCAGTCCTGGAAGATCCCACATGCCGCGGAGCGGCTGGGCCCATGAGCCATGGCCGCTGAGCCTGCGAGTCCGGAGCCTGCGCTCCGCAATGGGAGAGGCCGCAACAGTGAGAGGCCCGCGTACCGCAAAAAAAAGAAAAAAAAAAAAGTGTAAGAAAGTATATAGCAAAAAGTTCCATGATATTTTTGTACTTTATCAGTTCCCACTGCCCCTAATACCATCCTTCCTGAGTTTCTTTACTCACATATAAACAAATACAAATAAAAGTTCTTATTTTTCCTCTCTTTTATACAAAAGATACATGCAATACACGTTTGTAGCTTGTATTTTTCCTTTACTAATATATTTTGGAGATCTTTCTGTATTAGTACATAGAGACCATCATTTTTTTTAGCAACTGTGCAGATTTCCATTATATAGGTATACCATAATTTATTTACCAGACCCCTGTTGATAGATATTTGGGTTATTTCTAGTGAACACTCATGTACACATACCACTATGTATCCATGTAAGATTATCTGTAGGATAAGTTCCCCACAATGAAACTGTTAAACCAAAGGATATATGTATTTGTAATTTTGGTAGATACTGCCACCTCCACAGAGGGTGATCAATACCCATTCCCACCAGCAATAATTTCTCACAGCCTTGCTAATTATAAGTATCATCAAACTTTAGGAGTTTTGCCACTCTGTTAGATGGTATAATTGTGCAGGTTTAATATGTATTTCTCTTATTTTGAGTGAGGCTAAGTGTCTTTTCATGTATTTCAGTGATGGGTCGTATCCTTTAGGGCTAGGTTTTGTAACAGATCTTTTCTTCATAAGTAAAACTTCTAGTACAGGGCCATACTGAGAATTCAGTGAAAGCTTAGTTGAACTAAATTCAGCTGTTTCTTACTTTCTGGCATAACAATATGTTCCAGGCTCATCTTGTACTTTATACCCTGCCCTAGCCCTGGAATTAGCCATTTCTCTGAGGATTCCTGGTTCTTAATTTTAGTGCGAAATGATGTTGCAGACCAAGAGATGGCACTAGGTGTGCTCAGTACTCCTGGGATATATTTTCTTCTTGACACTTCCATAGGACAGAGATAGGAAATACATGCATGTCCATACACATATGCATGTACACACACATATATAAATATATATTCATACACATGCATATATGTGTACACATTATATATGTATGTTTAGAAATAATAAGTTCACACAGTTAGCACTAATTCCCATCCCTTTCCCCAAGTTTCTTACCTGCCTTCCATCATTTTCATGTTTGTATGTTCTTTTTTCCTAAGTGAGAACCCTGACTTCTAACAAATCAACACATGTACATATTTTGCTCAGTTCTATAATACAACTGAAATCGTCCAGAATTGCTTCACTCATTCAACTACAATACACTATAGCTTTTTTTTTTTTTTTAAGTTCTTTACAAAGAAAACTGTTGATGTTTCTTTAAAAATCAGTTATAATCAGGGACTTCCCTGGCGGTCCAGTGGTTAAGACTCTGTGCTTCCAGTGTAGGGGGCGAGGGTTTGATCCCTGGTGGAGGAACTAAGATCCCATATGTTGTACTGTGCAGCCAAAAAAAAAAGTCATAATCAATTGAATTTACTGAATTAGATTTTTATTGTTCCATAAAGGATTAATTGGAGCAGCATAAAAATAGTTCCTTCATACAAATTTTAGAGCAATTCTTTTTAGAAATTCTTCTTAGGACTTCCCTGGTGGTCCAGTGGGTAAGACTCTGTGCTCCCAATGCAGGGGGCCTGGGTACGATCCCTGGTCGGGAAACTAGATCCTGCATGCATGCTGCAGCTAAGAAGTCCGCATGCCTCAACTAAGTAGTCCGCATGCCACAACTAAGAAGCCCACATGCTGCAAGTAAGCATCCACATGCCGCAACTAAGAAGTCCACATGCTGCAAATAAAAGATCCCACATGCTGCAATTAAGACCTGGTGCAGCCAAAAGAAAAAAAATTCTTAAAAAAAAAAAAAGAGGGCTTCCCTGGTGGCGCAGTGGTTGAGAGTCCGCCTGCCGATGCGGGGGACACGGGTTCGTGCCCCGGTCCAGGGAGATCCCACATGCCGCGGAGCGGCTGGGCCCGTGAGCCATGGCCACTGGGCCTGCGCGTCCGGAGCCTGTGCTCCGCAACGGGAGAGGCCACAACAGTGAGAGGCCCACATACAGCAAAAAAAAACCAAAAAAAAAACAAAAAAAAAAAAAGAAAGAAATTCTTCTTAGACCTTTGGTGAGGATAGTATATTAGAGTTTAATTAAAAGTAGGAAATTTGGTACTTTTACAATAATGAAAAAGTTTTTACTGTAAATTATACTGTAAAAGATAGCTAACTAGTCTTTCTTGAAATAACATTAAAATGTACACATTAAATTGTATTCCATTCTAGATTCAAGGGCATTACCTTTGACTAGAATAACAATATGTACAATACTCTAAAAGAAAATACGAACTTTTAAATCTAAAACTTTGAATTTTCTTATAAAATCCTATAGGAATTAATATGAATGCTTATTCTTATGTATTATTTATATTAATGTTTCTAGCTTCTAATAATTTATTGTTTACAGTTTTCTCATTTTCTTTCAGATACAGGCATAGACCACCATGCTCTTCTAAAACAATTTGATCATCTAAATCACCTGAATCCTGAGAAGTTTGAATCTACAGATTTAGATATGCTAATCAAAGCGGTGAGACTCATTTCAAAATGTGTTGTCTTCGTTGTGCCTTTGAGGTTTTGTAATTTGACAAGTAAATTCCATGAAGTGGTAGTATAACTTTTACATATTCTCTAGAATATCTTTAAAGGGAGATAGCTTAACCCTTATTAGTATAGATAATAATGTGGACATACAGGTCTGTAATCCCTTGCAAACAATTCCAAAATCCAAAATACTATAAAAATGGAAACCTGGCTTAAATTATAGTAAGGCTATTTATAGGTTTTATTTAGCTTACTTAGTGTATTTATAGATTTTGATAAGGAAGTACTAATCTGTTTGATTACAAACTCTTCTGGGGTGTTAAACGATATGGCATATATGCCGTATGTCTTTTCTAAAATCTAGAAAATTCTTAAACACATCCTGCCTCAGAGATTTTAGATTATAATTTGTAGACCTCTCGTGTTGTACTGTATGAAGTTAGCAAATTAGATGTTCTAGCCTGGGTGTTACTAGATTTAGTTAAGTCGTTAGGAACTGTTCTAGTTCTGTATACTGTACAGATTTGATACAGTCCCTTCCTTTTTCTTCCTTTTAAAATAAATTTATATATTACTTGCTTGTAAGGAACTTCCTAAAGTTGAAGCTAGCTTTGAACTTTTAGTTTCTTTGAATGCCTACATCTCTGAGAGTAATAATGACTAAAATAGAAGGGTAAAATTTAAAACAGAAGTCAAATATGTTTTGGCCCTCCTATGCTACCTTCTGTTAGAGAGTATGCTATATGCAAGAAAGCCTTTATTTATATTTTTCAAGCACATCTTCTTATTTAATTTAAAAATTGAATTATAGGCTACAAGTGATCTGGAACACTATGATAAAGCTCGACATGAAGAATTTAAAAAATATGAAATGATGAAAGAACATGAAAGGAGAGAATATTTAAAAACACTGAATGAAGAAAAGAGAAAAGAAGAAGAATCTAAATTTGAGGAAATGAAGAGAAAGCATGAAAGTCATCCCAAAGTTAATCATCCAGTAAGGATTATGACTTTGTAAAACCATAGTTAGATGAAGATACTTCTTTGTGCCAGATAGTAGAATTTTATAAGTTACTAGTACTTAAAATCTTGATTCTTAATTCTGCAAAGTTTTTCAATTTTATATTTTATTTTGAGCCTATATACATAGATTATAGTTTGTCTTGAGTGGTTTTTTAAAATTGATTCACAGGGAAGCAAAGATCAACTAAAAGAAGTGTGGGAAGAGACTGATGGATTGGATCCTAATGACTTTGACCCCAAGACATTTTTCAAATTACATGGTAACAGATTTGATACAATATTAATATTTATATCTTTTGTTTGAAAAATTATAGATGCTTTACTCTTAATTGACTTCTGCCAAGGTTTGCTAATCGAGTCCTATTGATAGTAAACATTTAGAGTTTTCCTCTAGGGTAGTATAGTAGTCTTTATTGCTGGTCTGCAGTATAAAATATTTTAGGTCAGTAGCTATGTCTTTATACTTGCTTTTACTTTTGAGTCATTTTATGACTTATTACAAGTTTCTCTGTAAAATGAAGGCATTTCTGTGACTAGCTAGGTTATATCTAATGGACTTTATGCTGTAATATTAAAATTTACTTTTAGTCTTATAGCATATTGCTTCACTTTATATTTTAGTTAATATATATATTTTTCTAAATAACTATGTTGAATTATGAATAAGTAGTGAATTGTTATCAGTTGGACTGATCTGAGGCTTCATAAAAAAGAAGGATACCTTTTTCTGTAGCATGTTGATGCTTCGTGTTAAGTAATACTTTTGCAAACCATTAGTAATTAGTTGTATTTTAACTATCAATTTTCTAAGGCATTAAAATCAGTTTTTGCATTTGTAACTTTTAAACTTTAGATGTCAATAGTGATGGCTTCCTAGATGAACAAGAATTAGAAGCCCTATTTACTAAAGAGGTAAATGAGTTCATTAAGTATTCAGTGGTTTTGCTCTGTCTTTTTTCCTTCTATTATCTTCCTTTCTTTTATGTTGGTTTTAAATTTTTCTTTTTAGTTGGAGAAAGTATATGACCCCAAAAATGAAGAGGATGATATGGTAGAAATGGAGGAAGAAAGGCTTAGAATGAGGGAACATGTAATGAATGAGGTATGTTTGAAAAGTTTATCTGTTACTTCTGTGGAGTTTTCAAGTTCTTGCAATAAATCTTATTGTAAAATGGAAAATAAATATATATAATATTTAATTGGATTTTGCATTTTTGATCCAGAACAGTCAGTAGGTTCCCTTAGTGTAAATAAAATTATTTTGTAACTGCTTTAAAATATTTTAAAATACTAAGATGCTGCTGCATATAAAAGAATGCTGTAAAGCATTCTTTTAGAAGTAAAAAATAATTATTATTGTAGTCCATTATTTGATATTGTAAATGCTGTATTCGTTTTTGCTAAGAAATTTAAAAACTCAATACCTTAATGGTTTATAACAACAAGTATTTATTTCTTGTTCACATTACTAAGCTGAAAACTCTGAAATAGCTATCATAGGCAGGGTAACTTAAGCCCACTTTTTTGTTGTTTTGTTTTGTTTGTTTATTTGTTTTTGGCTGCACCACGTGGCTTGTGGGGTCAGCTTTTGGGATCTTAGTTCCCTGACCAGGGATCGAACCAGGGTCCTTGGCAGTGAAAGCACAGAGTCCTAACCACTGGACCACCAGGGAATTCCCCAAGCCCACTGTTTTGCTTCAGTGATTTTCACCTGTTATTTGAGCTATTTATGGTAAATTGGGATTTTTGTTGAGTGCTGGCTTCCAAGTAACAAATTAATTTCTTTGGCCATCATAGAGTTCACTTTTGTAACTGAATTTGCCATAGTCTATAAGAGCCATTAAACAAGGTTTGGAAAGGTTGTCAACTTTAGCTTTGATTTAGTTAGTTGTTTGTTTTTAGGAAAACATTGTTGAGAGCATTTTAACTTAAACTCCTTTACTCTTGGCTAAAACAGTCTTCTTTCTGGAAAGATTGTTTTTCTTGCCCAAGCACTTGGCTTTGAAAGGAGGTGTGGTGAGTAAGGAAAACAATACTAGTCTACCCAGTCATATCAGCAGACTCAAACTTGGTGATCTTTGGGGGTATCAGTTATTTTCAAATTTGAATTATATAGAAGAAAAAGTTATCTATTTTCTGATTCTAGGATAATGTTGAGTGTCCTGTTTTGATTTTTTCCCTCAGTTTCTCTGGATGTTAGGCTAGCCCTAATTGCTGTATATTTATGTAGTAGCATCTGTTAGAAGAATTTCTAGTATCTACATAATGTGAAAGAGTTATTTTATTTTACACGTACACTTTCCTTTAATCAGGTTGATACTAACAAAGACCGATTGGTGACTCTAGAAGAGTTTTTGAAAGCTACAGAAAAAAAGGAATTCTTGGAGCCAGACAGCTGGGAGGTAATAGAACCTACGTGAAATGGGATGTATCGTTCAAGAAATTCTACATCAGTCTATTCTGCTTTTAACTTTTATTCGCCATTATGTTTGCATGTATAGTTTTACCATCTTGGCTTTTCATATGAAATTTCACTATAAAATAATGAACTTGATTTCTTGCAAAGCGGGGACAATTGATCTCTATTGGTAATCACATTGCATGTAATTGTGTCTTTCTAAAATCGTCCTTTTTTTCTTTTTGCGATACGCGGGGCTCTCACTGTTGTGGCCTCTCCCGTTGCGGAGCACAGGCTCCGGACGCGCAGGCTCAGCGGCCATGGCTCACGGGCCCAGCCGTTCCGCGGCATGTGGGATCTTTCCGGACCGGGGCACGAACCCGTGTCCCCTGTATCGGCAGGCGGACTCTCAACCACTGTGCCACCAGGGAAGCCCTAAAATCGTGCTTTTTTTATGTGTAAAATATGTTCATTCTTGAAAATTAAAAATATGGATACAGTTAAAGTATGAATTAGAGGTTACATGTAATTCTACCATCCGGAGGTAGACACTTAAATTATGCATTGTGTTATGCCAGTTTGGAAATCGTTTGTATATTTAGTATATGTATATATAGCATACAGTGAATAAATAGTATACTGTCCCATTTTTAGCTTACATATACACATAAATTCATATCTATATATTTTTTAAATGGCTTCATATATTCACTATATAAATGACTTTGTATGTTTGTGAAATTCTGTTTTTTAAAAATATAACTATTTCATGAACATTTCAATGCCATGTCTCAAAATCTCGATTTGAAAAATGACCACTTAGCATGCAGTTGTGTGGTTGTAACATAATTTATATAGCCGTTCTTCCAGATTCAGACATTATGGGTCAATTCTAATTTTTTTTTACTGTGATAAATAACATTATGATGACTATCCATTTGTTCATGCATTTGGGGGCATCTGTGATGATTTCCCTGGGATTAATTCCTAGGAATAGAACTATTCTCAAGTTTTATGAACATTTTTTAGTTTCTAAATATATCTGTCAAATTGCTCCTGAAAAGTATTTGAATTTATACCGTGGTTTACTGTGTATAAGTGAGTGCATACACATCTTGAACAGAATAGTTGAGCGGTACCAAACAAAGTAGATTGAAAAAAGAACATTGTCGACAGGTGCATGCCGCGGCTATCAGCGTGGACACCAGCGACAGGCATGAAATGCTAAGGCTGCTACTGCAGCCACCAAGAGGCCTGTGTGCAAGCACAGGTCACTATCCACACCACCCTGGGAGCCTGTGCAGCCCGCCACTGCCAGGGTCCGGTGATCCAGAGAAAACTTCCCCAGGAGAACACACAGCATGCCTCAGGCTATTGCAACGTCATGTCAGCCTCTGCCGCTGCAGGCTCACCCCGCATTCCATACCCCTCCCTCCCCACCGGCCTGAGTGAGCCAGAGCCCCCTAATCAGCTGCTACTTTAACCCCATCCTGGCTGGGCAAAGAACAGACGCCCTCAGGCGACCTGCATGCAGAGGCAGGGCCAAATCCAAAGCTGAACCCTAGGAGTTGTGTGAACAAAGAAGAGAAAGGGAAATTTCTCCCAGCAGCCTCAGGAGCAGCGGATTAAATCTCCACAATCAACTTGATGTACCCTGCATCTGTGGAATACCTGAATAGACAACGAATCATCCTAAAATTGAGCTGGTGGACTTTGGGAGCAACTGTAGACTTGGGGTTTGCTTTCTGCATCTAATTTATTTCTGGTTTTATGTTTATCTTAGTTTAGTAATTCGAGTTTATTATCATTGGTAGATTTGTTTATTGATTTGGTTGCTCTCTTCCTTTTTTTTTTATATAGATATTTTTTTCCTTTTTCTCTTTTTGTGAGTGTGTATGTGTATGCTTCTTTGTGTGACTTTGTCTGTATAGCTTTGCTTTTACCATTTGTCCTAGATAATCTGTCTGTCCGTTTTTTTTGTTTGTTTTTTTTAGTATAGTTTTTATTGCTTGTTATCATTGGTGGATTTGTTATTTGGCTTGGTTGCTCTCTTCTTTGTTTCTTTCTTTTTTTATTACTTTTTAATTTATTTTATTTATTTAATTTTTTTTTGCGGTATGCGGGCCTCTCACTGTTGTGGCCTTTCCCGTTGCGGAGCAACAGGCTCCAGATGCGCAGGATCAGCGGCCATGGCTCACGGGCGCAGCCGCTCCGCGGCATGTGGGATCTTCCTGGGCCGGGGCACGAACCCGTGTCCCCCGCATCGGCAGGCGGACTCTCAACCATTGCGCCACCAGGGAAGCCCTAATCTATTTTATTTTTAATAATTTTTAAAAATTTTTTATTTTAATTATTTCCTTCCTTCCTGCCTCCCTCCCTCCCTCCCTTCCTTCCTTCCTACAGGTGTCAGGCCTGTGCCTCTGAAATAGGAGAGCTGAGTTCAGGACAGTTGGTCCACCAGAGACCTCCCGGCTTCACGTAATATCAAATGGGGAAAACTCTCCCAGAGATCTCCATCTCAAAGCTAAGACCCAGCTCCACTAAACGACCAGCAAGCTACAGTTCTGGACACTGTATGCCAAACAACTAACAAGACAGGAACACAACCCCACCCATTAGCAGAGAGGCCGCCTAAAATCATAATAAGGTCACAGACACCCCAAAACACACCACCGGACGTCATCCTACTCACCAGAAAAGCAAGATCCAGCCTCATCCACCAGAGCATAGGCACCAGTTCCCTTGACCAGAAAGGCTGCACAACCCACTGAACCAACCTTAGCCACTGGGAGCAGACACCAAAAACAACAGGAACTACGAACCTGCAGCCTGCAAAAAGAAGACCCCAAACACAGTAAATTAAGCAAAATGAGAAGACAGAGAAACACACAGCAGATGAAGGAGCAAGGTAGAAACCCACCAGACCAAACAAATGAAGAGGAAATAGGCAGTCTACCTGAAAAAGAATTCAGAGTAATGATAGTAAAGATGATCCAAAATCTTGGAAACTGAATGGAGAAAATACAAGAAACGTTTAACAAGGACCTAGAAGAACTGAAGAGAAAACAAACAATGATGAACAACAAAATAACTTAAATTAAAAATTCTCTAGAAAGGGGCTTCCCTGGTGGCACAGTGGTTGCGGGTCCACCTGCTCATGCAGGGGGCACAGGTTCATGCCCCGGTCCAGGAGGATCCCACGTGCCGTGGAGTGGCTGGGCCCGTGAGCCATGGCCGCTGAGCCTGCATGTCTGGAGCCTGTGCTCTGCAATGGGAGAGGCCACAGCAGTGAGAGGCCTGCGTACCGCAAAAAAAAAAAAAAAAATTCTCTAGAAGGAATCAGTAGCAGAATAACTGAGGCAGAAGAACAGATAAGTGACCTGGAAAATAAAATAGCAGAGCAGAATAAAGAAAAAAGAATGAAAACAATTGAGGACAGTCTCAGAAACCTCTGGGACGACATTAAATGCACTAACATTCAAATTATAGGGGTCCCAGTAGAAGAAGAGAAAAAGAAAGGGACTGAGAAAATATTTGAAGAGATTATAGTTGAAAACTTCCCTAATATGGGAAAGGAAATAGTCAGTCAAGTCCAGGAAGCACAGAGAGTCCAATACAGGATAAATCCATGGAGGAACATGCCAACACACATATTAATCAAATGATCAAAATTTAAATACAAAGAAAAAATATTAAAAACAGTAAAGGAAAGCAACAAATAACATATAAGGGAATCCCCATAAAGTTAACAGCTGATCTTTAAGGAGGAGCTCTGCAAGCCAGAAGGGAGTGGCAGGACATATTTAAAGTGATGAAAGGGAAAAACCTACAACCAACATTACGCTACCCAGCCAGGAACTCATTCAGATTCAACGGAGAAATTAAAACCTTTACAGACAAGCAAAAGCTAAGAGAATTCAGCACCGCCAAACCAGCTTTACAACAAATACTAAAGGAACTTCTCTAGGCTGGAAACACAAGAGAAGGAAAAGACCTACAATAACAAACCCAAAACCATTAAGAAAATGGTAATAAGAACATACATATTGAAAACTACTGTAATCGTAAATGGATTAAATGCTCCAACCAAAAGACATAGACTGGCTGAATGGATACAAAGACAAGACCTGTATATATGCTGTCTACAAGAGACCCACTTCAGACCTAGGGACACATACAGACTGAAAGTGAAGGGATGGAAAAAGATATTCCATGCAAATAGAAATCAAAAGAAAGCTGGAGTAGCAATTCTTATATCATAAAACAGACCTTAAAATAAAGACTATTACAAGAGACAAAGAGGGACACTACATAATGATCAAGGGATCAATCCAAGAGGAAGATATAACAATTGTAAAGATTTATGCACCCAACATAGGAGCACCTCAATACATAAGGCAAATGCTAACAGCCATAAAAGGGGAAATCAACAGTAACACCACCATAGTAGGGGGCTTTAACACCCCACTTTCACCAATGGACAGATCATCCAAAATGAAAATAAATAAGGAAACACAAGTTTGAAATGATACATTAAACAAGATGGACTTAATCACTATTTATAGGACATTCCATCCAAAAACAACAGATTATACTTTCTTCTCCAGTGCTCATAGAACATTCTCCAGGATAGATCATATCTTGGGTCACAAATCAAGCCTTGGTAAATTTAAGAAAATTGAAATTGTATCAGGTATCTTTTCCGACCACAATGCTCTGAGACTAGATATCAATTACAGGAAAAAATGTAAAAAGTACAAACACATGGAGGCTAAACAATACACTACTAAAGAACCAAGATATCACTGAAGAAATCAAAGAGGAAATCAAACAATACCTAGAGACAAATGACAATGAAAACACGATGACCCAAAACCTATGGGATGCAGCAAAAGCAGTTCTAAGAGGGAAGTTTATAGCTATACAATCCTACCTCAAGAAACAAGAAACATCTCAAATAAAGCAACCTAACCTTACACCTAAAGCAGTTCGAGAAAGAATAAC